AATCTACATTACTTTGAAATGCTTTAGCAGGTAAAACCCTGCTTATGGCTTGTACCATTTGCTAGATGTTTCTGGGCCTGTGAAGGGTACCTATTTCAGTCTGCACATGCAAAGCTGCACATTTTAGCTCAAGGGTCCTTAAAGGCTCTCACTTCAACTCTTCTGGGCTCCCTGAGTGGTAGAAGCTCTGTCTGGAACTGCCTACCTCCAGCTCCAGGTGGGACGCTGTAGTTCGGAGCTAGTTTTGCTTGCAGCCTGGAGGTTAAAGCTCAGCCCCCACTTCCAATGCCGGCACTTACCCTGCAATACTCATCAATGGGCTTCAGTCTTTTCACAGCCACGTCTCGAACATGACTCCTCCGGAACAGGATTTTACCTGAGGAAACACGTAAGAAGAAAGGGTTTAGGAACTTGCAATACTTTATTACAATAGAACAGGGCAGCAATGTTCTGGCACAAAGCCTGGCGTCAGGAAAAAAATAAGCATTTAATTCCTACCAACTTGCCTCTCTGACCTTGGCTCAGCTCTTTAACTGTGCATGTCTGATTCTCCCCACCAAGAAAACAAGGGCAGCAATATCTACCTTACAGGAGTGATGGGAGTCTTAATGTTTGCAAAGGATTTGAGAAACGTTCCGCAGGAACGTCTCATAGGAAAGTGCAAATCGTTTTTCCTAATTACTCTCATACACTTCGGCCCCAGTGTTACCAATGATGCTTTTGCTACAGTCTCCTCAGTCCCACTTACAGGAAACAAACTCCACTACCTGTAGGTAGGGCTGGGTTTTTCACTTTTCAAGAGGGCACTAGTACTGCAGACTACAACTCATATCATTTCCCCTCCTGGGCTAGATTATGGAGTTTCCATGCTCTCCCTGGAGCAGACCACAAGCAAATTATGACCCAGGCATTCCCCCCTCCCTGTAAGTGCAGCACCCATGTGCTGCCCACTCCCTGCTCGCAGCAGCTCTTCACCCCTCCACAGGCGCACTGGCAATGCAGGTAGCCAGAGCAAAAGAATTCAAGGCAGCGCACGACTGAGTCCTTAAAGACCCACGGGAGGCAATCAGTGAAAAGTAAATGAACTGACAAGATTTAGCTGCATCTTCTAGAATGGTGATTCTCAACCAGGGTGCTACAGCACCCTGGGGTGCCTTGAGAGCCTTTCAAAGGTATCACAGGGTGCCACACAACATTAGCACTGTTAGCAAACCTGGGTCACAAGATAAACCTAGAGATACCAAACAGGAAGCTATAGTCTTAAAACAGTCTGCCCCGCTGGGGCCTTTCTGAGCTTTGTTGCAACAGAAGAATTGCTCTGTTATTTTTCTGTAGTCAAAAATGGAGTGAAAACCAAGAGCCGGCATTTTCTGAGTGCCTTGAGTCGAAAAAGGTTGTGAACCACTTTTCTAGAAGCTCAGCCATGGCCCTATACATTATATCGCGTAGGTTTTTTAATCCCTCTTCAAGTAAAAAAAAAAAACAAACCTCTGAACCTTGATGGTTTCAGAGGAAGAAAGTTGTGTGAGCAAGTTCAATCTAAATAAATGGCTGGATTTTGTGTTAAACTGATTAAAACAAACTTTATCAGGATAATCTAGAAACTGAGTTTCCCACAGAAAAGGATGTCATGGAGTTGGTATTTTTTGGCTTGAAAAGATAATATCTTTATATCCTTTTTTGGTGGTTTTCTTCCCCTTCTTCTCTCATGTTGTATTTTTTTTCTAACATATTGAGACAAGAATAAATTACATGTTCTCCTTGTGGTGGAAGATGATGCTGTCTGCCAGCTTTATTTAATACATGAAACTTCGACATAAGGCACAGACCAGCCTTTTGACCAGCTTCTGCTGCAAACTTACTCCCAACTGCACAATGGGAAAATGCAGAACAATGGTCCACAGATCGTGAGAGATGGGAAATGGCGAGGAAGGGGAATCTGATCCAAAACCGGAAGTAGGGGCATGGATCTTGCCCGGCATACAGCATCTGAGAACTCAAACAGCCGGAACAACTGAGAGGAGAGGAACCGAAATATTCTCAGGATCCTCCTACTTTTGATCCACTTCTTCCTAGGCTGCTCCTCTCAAAGGCCTTACAGCTTGGGTACTTTGGTTGCTGCCAAGGAAACAGGGATCTCACCCCCCGCACGCCCACTCCCCGAATCTAAACACACGTGGTTTTCATTCATCTTTGTTTTGTGAAAGCAAAACCTGAAGTTTCATAAGTTTTGTACTGCCACACCTGAGTTACAACATTACAAGGATTGTGCTAAGTCACAACAGTGATGCAACGTGTTATTGCACTTAGGCTCCAAATGGAGTTGGAGGGTCTTTCATGGACCTGTAAGGTAAATTTGTCACTGCTAAACAAGGTAGCAAAAAACCTGCTCTACTGGGCTGGGTCCCCTGGCTTGCTTTCCCTGCTGTGTGAAAATGGCCAATCAAAGCCTCGCTTGGCTTTGGTTTTCCCTTCTGTAAAATGGGATGAACAATACGCATTTGTCGGATTTCTCTCAATCTTTCTAAACACCCATCAAGGTGAAATGCCACATGATTACACCCTCTTTTCATTTTGGGGTAATAGAGAATAAAGTAGCCCCTCTGTCAGTGTTAGAAAAGCACTGATGTGGGCAAGCTTTTCATTTCTTTCAGAGTTTTATACATGTGCTTGAAAGAGTATGCGGAGCTTTGGAAGTGATCTTGCTCGCTGGCTTTCCTGTTTTCAGTCCAAGCCACAAACTGAAAGCCAAACTAGTGACCATATAAAAACATAAAGGAACCAAAGACTTAAACACATTAAAGATCTCTTGTAAATGTAATTCAGCTTCACTAAAAAAGACAGTTTACAGGGAGGCCCAGTCTTCAAAGGAACATAATAAATGAAAGACTCAAAGCACAAGAAACCAAATAAATATATTAAGGAAGGCTATATTAAACACAGAGGGTAAGAAAGACCCCAGGATATGATGAGTCTTAATTCATTCCTTAAATGGTGATGGAAAATGTTGAGTTGATTGTGGTGCTCACATGAAACAAATCCCAGTAGGTGCTAGTGTATTTTTTTTGCTGAGGTTCCCCGTGCAGAATGCGCCAACTGGCAAACACCAGCATCGGGAGTTAGCAAAGTTTGATCTGGGTTTTAAGCCTGGCTCAGCAGATACCCAAAGTATTAGGGCATTAAGACTGGGTCACAGGCACTCTGAACAGGTAGCAGCAGTCCCACGGACACCTACCACGTGCCTTTCGGTGCAGCAGTCACGCCAGGGGTGGGACAATCCCATTGCACAGGGGAGGAGACAGGAGACCCAGCAAACTTGTCCTACTACTGAGACTTGGGGGTGAGAGGCATGAAGGAGACCGGGAACATGGCACCCTAATATCAAAGGCCCTCAGGACCTGTGGGGAAGAGAAGCCCCATTTCTGAGGATACAGAAGGGTGTGGAAAAGGCAGCTTTCCAGGTGCCCCAGTGATTCTGCTTATATACGGTACATACGGTATCCCTGGGAATTGTGCAAGGACACGGGTAACGTGGCATTCCTCCTTCCACCCATATCTTCACACCCAACATCTTGGGTCTCCTCCTCTGGGAACAAGAGGATGATATAATTCTCACAAAGAATCCCAGCCTGATGCCAGGCCTCACCCCAGCACTGCAACAGAAAATAGTGCAAATGGTGCTTCACTTGCCTCCATGAAAAGCTTCTTTTTTTTTTCCCTTTTCCCAATCACTTCTTCATGCCTGAGAGAGAAAACAGAAGTCTGTCTGGGGCTGCTAAGCCATACTACTGTAGCTGCCTTTCCTGATATCTGTGTCAGTGTTAAGGCATCCTCTAAACAAGATCTCCAACTACAGCTCTCACTGCAACTCTTCACCTTCCTCCAACCCTGTAAGATAGTCAGCTCAGTCCCGAATTCCTAGAGTACAGTGTAGCCCTTGACTGAGGCACTCTGGCACTGGGAACTCCTGACATAACCTAGCACATACAACACATGGGAAGCCAAATTGTTATTTAGCTTTTAGCTCAACTGTTTTCTTCTACCCTATTATTTTAAAATAGTTTTGACCACAACTTTTGATAATGGATCTATGGACACTGATTGCTCCATGCCAGGAACTTCTTCATGACAGCACCAAAGAGTAAGGAAGAGACAGGTCCCCTCTGCTACAGAAAGAACATGGGGCAGATTAGTGCTTGCCCCGTATCATGTGTCATCTTTTCACGCTGGCAGAGCCAAACTTCAAAGAACTGTGTATGAAACCTAACATGTAATAAATATGAATCCTATGCAGCTAGAATATTTATGGGTATGTTAAAAATAATGGGATACTTCATGTGATTTATGTCTAAAAAAGACGAGTGCCACAACTCGCTTTAGAAACTACAGCTGCTGCAGTCAAGTCTATCAGCTGCCTCCAACCCCCACCCCCAAATACCTCTGGCTTTTGTTTCTACACACACATGCCCATTACTTCTCTATTGCTCCTGTCTTTCTTTTCCTTCTCTGCCGAGCTGAGAGCTATAATGCCTCTGTAGGTTGCCAAGTGACGTGTTCGATTTAAAGTCCCTGTCCATTCAATACCGTAGGTCAAATTCTCGTCTCCATTACGCTGGTTTCTATAGGATTGCAAGAGCGTAACCAAGACAAGCATTTGGCCCTTGCTTTGTTATAGCATCTCTTTCCTGGCTCTGCAGCCTCCCCCACAGTAACCGACACCCTCTTTGGGGAGACAGCATTTGTATGAAGGAGTTTGCTCTGTGTGTACATCTATATATCTGTTTTCATGATTTTTACACATGGAAAAAACACAGATGTGCAGCTGGGCTTGAGATGCACACTTCCCCTCCACCCCCTCAACCCTTTTAAACCTTGACATTTCCCCTAAATCCCCGCAGGAAAATACATGAGTATCTGACATACAATAACCTTCACAAATGACCATTAGGCAGGGAGAGCATTTGAACGCATGGTGCTATCCATAAGCTGAATCAAGGGAAAGAGTGTAATAAGGGGGCAGTGGAAAAATGACTTTGTGCGTCTCACAGAAGCCTACGTGCAGCTGGCACCAAGATGCATTTTGCTGTCCAGTGTCACATAGCATCATCTGACTTTTCCAGGAGAAATCCTGGCCTCTGTGGCCCATTTCATTGATGGCTTCCTAGAGTCAAAGAGTCCCTACCAGGATCTTGACAGTGACAGCATTTGACAAAGAAAGAGAGGAAACACAGGTGATGCTGTTTCCACTAGCGAAAGGGGTCGAAAGGAAGTAAACACATGCAAAAGAGTCCAAACTGCTGGCTGAGCTCCTTCCCCAGTCCGTGTGAATTATGCCGAGGGTGGCAGAGGGCCCTGGAAGTGGCTGGAGCAGCCAAA